TTCATCATACTAGGTTTTCTAATTTATTATCTTAGCAGAAAGATTCTTCATACTAGGTCTCTTTTCTTCTCTTTTTTTTGGTATCTTAGGAGAAAAATTCATCAGACTAAGATTTCTATCATAGGAGAAAATTTATCAGACTAGGTCTTCTATCTTAGGAGAAAGATTCATCAGACTAGGTCCTTTTTTTAATCTTAGGAGAATGATTCATGAGACTAAGATTTCTATCCTAGGAGAAAGTTCATTAGACTAGGTCTTCTATCTTAGGAGAAAGATTTATCAGACTAAGATTTCTATCATAGGAGAAAATTCATCAGACTAGGCCTTTTTTTTATCTTAGGAGAAAGATTCATCAGACTAAGATTTCTATCCTAGGAGAAAATTCATCAGACTAGGTCTTCTATCTTAGGAGAAAGATTCATCAGACTAAGATTTTGATCCTAGGAGAAAATTCATCAGACTAGGTCTTTTTTTTTGGTTATCTTAGGAGAAAGATTCATGAGACTAAGATTTCTAACTTAGGAGAAAATTCATCGGACTAAGTCCCTTTTTTTGTTATCTTAGGAGAAAGATTCATCAGACTAAGATTTCTATCCTAGGAGTAAGTTCATCAGATTAGGTCTTTTTTATTGTCTTAGGAGAAAGATTCATTAGACTAAGACGTTTATCCTAGGAGAAAATTCATCAGACTAGGTTTTCTATCTTAGGAGAAAGATTCATCAAACTAAGATTTTGATCCTAGGAGAAAGTTCATCAAACTAGGTTTTTTGTTTCGTTATCTTAGGAGAAAGATTCATCAGACTAAGATTTCTATCCCAGGAGAAAGATTTATCAGACTAGGTTTTCTTATCTTAGGAGAAAAATTCATCAGACTAGGATTTTATATCCGAGGAAAAATGTGAAGAGCAATGGCAAAAACTTTATGCACACTAGCAAGACAGATAAAGGCAAGATTTGAGAAACTTCCCTTTGTCGGCTTTTCTCTTCCTTTTTCTTTTTCTTTCTCATCTTCTTTTTTTTTCTTTTTTTTTGAACCACTTTCCTTGCACTGCTTTGTTCCTATTTCAAACAAAGAAAAATCTGTCAGTTTTGAAAGTGGTGGTCGGTTGTGGGCTTTGAGTCTTGGGCAACTTGGCTTTGTGATCATCCAGCGTTTGTAAGACTGACTGTATTGGTAGTTGGTTGCACTGCTGGAAGACTCTATTGTTGCTTTCAAGGGACCTTTACTTTCTGTATAAACCCTGATTATTTCACTCCCAGTGCCATTTGTGTTTTGTGGTTCAATCAACCTTATCTCAAAAAAGAGATTTCTTTTCTTGGATAACCTTTTCTGATATCTTGAATGGCTTTTGCTTTTGGAGCAATTCGTCTGTTAGAGAGAATACAACTGGTAAGTGCCTTTTGTACGATGTGTACACTTTATAGTCCTTGTTTGGTACTATATAGAATCCCTGATTAACCTTGAGGTTATCTTTGCTTGCTTTACCCGAATAGGATGACAAGAATATTTTGGGGGGAAGCCTTTACATGAATCCTCAATGCATGTTGAGTGTAAAAAAACTGAGTGTGTTGACCAAATTTACTTTGTGCAACTAAAAAGCTGGTAGCAGATTTTAAAATCTTTTCTTGCTTGTTTTGACAAGGACTGACTCAGAGTGAAGGACACAATAATGCAAAGAAACAAGTATTAACAAGAAATGCCCCTGTCGGAAGGACAGAAAGAAGAGTTATTTTTTTCAATATCTAGCCTTAATGATCATGACATGAATTTTGGACTTAACGGCCGATCTATCAAACTAAACAAATCTTCCTTTTTACCGCTCTTATGACCTTTGAAATCGGGCCTATTCGTGCCAATCCTTTGCATAAGCTTCACAACTCACTATCGACTAATGGTTCCCCGAGGGGTTTTCACCAATAAGTCTGTCGTCTTACAATGCCCGTGAGGGTTTTCCTTAGTAAAACTCTCTCATTTCTTCTTCTTTATTTTTCCTTTTCTTTTGCTTTCTAGTGTGAGAAATTGATAATGTTTTATGTTACGTGACAATTGTCGCTCATTGCATGCTTCTCTTGGCATTCTTGAAGGCATATCAGGATGTCTTTATTCGGAAGGTTTTTGGATAGGATTGGAAAGAAAGGACGGCGTAAGGCTCAAAGTACACTCAAAATGAGGGGTTGTAGACTTACAACTCTTGGAATCGACTCTTTCAAAAGTGGAATAAAATCTTTGTCCCAGTTTCTGATACTGGGATTTTTGGATTTTTTTTTTGAATTCTTATTTGGTTGGACCGAACCGTGTAAGGCTACCTATGTATCCCTTTTTAAAGGAATCAGGTCAAACGTAGTTCAAACATCTGACCTAACTAATTCTTTTTTTTTCATCTTTCGTTCTTTGTCTTTTCCTTTTTTTTTTAATTTTTTTTTTCTTTTTTTTTCTTTTCAAAAAAAGTTGCCCCAACCTTTATTTTTCGGGGGCATGGACCTTTGACTGTTCTTTTTTTGTTCTTTTTTTTTCTTTTTCACTTGAACTTTCAATGAGTTTCCCCAATTTGTACTCTTGGAGCATGAACTTTTCTTTTCATTTTTTTTTTGGACTTTTAACTCAAAACTTGATTCCAAAAGAGGGTAGTCAAAGAAAATAACACATGCTCAAAAGGGGTAATAAAGGGTATAAAGTGTTTGGATAGCAGATAAAGGGCCTCCGNATAGCATAAAAAGGGCCTCCGAGCCTCGAGAATGCCAATCATGTATCCTTTCGTGATCAAAGCATTGATGAGCATGTCTGTCTTCTTGGTGTGTCGTGGTCGAAGAACACTTTCCATCCATTAATCTCAAACTTTCCACCGAACTTCAATAGGTTCTTCCTCAAATCCGATCTTCGCAATGATTTGAAGGTGAACTTTTTAACCTCAGCGGGCATGACTATTCTAGTTCCATGTGAATTTTACTTGAGCTTAATTCCAAAGTGTTTCGACTCTTTATTCATCCTCAAAATGTCTTTTTCTCAGTTATCCAATTCAAGATTAAATCAATTTTCTAAGATCTGGCCAAAAATTCTGCATGTATGTCATGTCATGTCATTAGAACTATCGGCGAAAGAGCTAAGCATGGAATGACACAAAAGGACAAACTGTATTTCATTGAGTAAAGGATGAAAAGGTTTAACAGCAAGACAAACAACCTAAAATCCGAGTTATGATCCTAAAATAACCCGAATAATGAAAATAGCAACATAACAGACAAACAAGACTCACACAAACAAAATAGAGGGATAGAAGGGTTTGACTCAATTAAACAAATAAAATCTGGATCACAACCTTGAAATAACCCAGATAATAGAAAAAATATCAAAACAAGCTACCAAGATTCCTTCCTAGTAAGGAGGGGATGCCTTTTCAATTGCCAAGCTTGACATTTAGCCACAAAATTGCTCATTAGAATCACTAGGACCTTCTCAATTTTCAATATCATTAACTTCAATCAGCAAGTTCCTGAGAGGATTCTCAAACTCCCTGTCACCACGCATCATCCCCACAAAGTGTGCATCATCATATGTAGGTAAAGAATTCTGCGCGATATTCTGAGTGTCACTGTCTTGGATCACAATCAGGTTTTCCTGGATCAACCTTTCTATTTCTCTTTTCAAATCCCGATAGCTTTCAACATTATGCCCCTGGGCATTGGAATGGTATTCAAACCTTTTAAAAAGGTCAAAGCTTCTTGCACGTGGGTCCACATGATTTGGAAGAATAGGTGCAATCATATCATAATGCTTTAATTTCTCAAACAAGCTTGCATATGACTCTCTTATTGGTGTAAAATTATCTTTCAACCTTTGTTACCCTCTATACCCTTGGCTTGGATGTGGGTTATAGGGCACTTGAAAATTTTGTAGAGGCGGGTGGAGATTTTGCGGTGCTGGCGCTCGCTTTCTGGGGTGTCTTTGCGGCTGGACAACATACTGGAATGGAGCAACAGAGTATTGTGGGTTCTGAGGTAGATAGTAGTGCTCAGAGGAATCATCGGAAACCAGACGAGGCTGGTCAAACCTTTGAGATGTTCTCCTAGACCTCTTCTCGACCCTGATGTCATCATGGTTTCTTCGTCCTTCTCATTCGTGTCACTAAAATTAACAGATCCAATCTGGACAGCCTGAGTTGCGGCTTTGAGAACTGCTTGACTTATAATTCTTCCTGTCTTTAGGCCATTCTCAACCATTTCCCCAATTTTGATTGCTTCCGAAAAGGATTTGCCAACTGCGGACATCATGTTTTGAAAATAATCTGGCTCTTGTGATTTAAGGAAGACACTGATTAGCTCGTGGTCATCCATAGGTGTCTTAACTCTAGCCGCTTGCTCTCTCCAATTAATGGCATATTCCCTAAAACTTTTAGTTGGTTTCTTCTTCAGGTTGGAGAGGGAATTGCGGTCTGGGGCGATGTCGATGTTGTATTGGAACTGTTTGACAAAGGCCTGAGCCATGTCATCCCAAACATACCAGCGAGATGTGTCTTGATCCATAAACCATTCAGAGGCTACTCCCGTAAGACTTTCCCCAAAATAAGCCATCAATAATTTTTCCTTTCTTCTCGCACCTCTTAGTTGATTGCAATACCTTTTCAGGTGGGCTATGGGGTCTCCATGTCCATCATACTTTTCAAATCTGGGAGTCTTGAAACCAGGTGGCAAGTGGACATCATGGAACATACATAGATCCTTGAAGGCAATACTCTTCTGAACTGTCAACCCTTGCACGTTTTTCAACTGTTGTTCTAAGATTTTTATTCTTTAGGTCATTTCTTCATGTACCATCTTTCGGGCAGGCTTTTCAATCTTTGCAGGAAGATCAAATAAGTACGAGTGTTAGTCAGGAAAGTGGTACTGTTCTTGCTGGGTAGCAAATTGTGACTCATGAGTTTTCCTCTGCACTACCGTCGGTTGTGGGATGGTGAAGATAGGCATAACAATAGTGGTTGTCTGATTGGTTGTCAATGGCATACTTTGGGAGCGCGCAATAGAAATTCCAGCTCTAGTCATACAGTTAGGATAAAGACTGAGCCCAGGTGGATAGGATTGATCAGACAATGAGACTGGAATGGTAGTAGTCGAGATGGATGTGAACTCTGGGAAACCATGAATAGAAAAAGGCGGTCCTTGACCATTGGCCCAGGCTTGACACATTTCAGTCTGAGCCTCTTGAGCACTCGTAACAACATCAATGTCAGTTATCATTTTTCCTTGGATCTTGTGTTGTCAGCTTACCACAAACTGACTGTCACGACCCAAAACTAACCCTGTCGTGATGGCGCCTATCGTGGAACTAGGCAAGCCGACT